GATTCCCTCCCATAAGGTGTGTCGCAGACAATGGGGTTAGTACCACCGCAGGGACCAAGTCATTAGTACTGACAGCAGCAATGGCTGTTAAACGTCTGCATCTGTGTCTTCTCTGTGTGGCTACTGCATTCCCGGCAGCAGCAGGAGGGCCCCTGCTCGCTGGCATTTAGCATCTGCATTGTCTGTTCCCAACAGCCTGCCTTCAGCTGAAATCGGACCACCTACAAGTCAGGGCTCCTTTTGGGACAGATGCTGCCAGCAAGGACCGTGGGTCCCTGGTGCTGCTGGAGCATCTTTCTGGGGTCTCTGGTGGCTTTATTAGGTTTCTGCTGTCCTCTGGGGCAGATAGTGTTGGGAAACTGGGGCTGAAGAAATTGCATCTCTAGCCAGGCAGAGTGTGGTCCTCCCTCACATCCGGCCTAACCTGCTTCTTCAGCAGAGGCCCCAGGCTGAAGGATCACAAATCTGAATTCCCAACCCCGGCCCCTCTCAGCTGAGAGCTTGAGCTGGGCCATACCCTCCTGGCTGGGCAGATGAGAGGGGCAATCCTTAGCACTTGTTTGCCTGGCAGTGATGGTGTCTGGATGGGCCAGTGGGTGTTTAGAAAGAAGGACACATACTTGGATGACTTGCAGAACCCCTGGGGCTGTTGGGTTGGGCTTTCCCCTTGGTCCGGAGCTTTGCAGCAGTGCAGCAGCCAGCACTGTGCAGGGCCTGTGATGGCCAATGGCTCCTGGCTCATCCGTTGGTGTGCCGTATGCCCAACGGCAAGGTGCAGTTCTGCCCCAAGCCCTGCTTTCCTTAATTCCCAGTCTAGCAAAGGCTGGGAGCTGAGGGTCTCGGTGCCCCCCTTTCTGCACAGGAGCATCAGCTCTGGGTTTGGTCCACTCAGGATGTGTCTAGTGATGCCTATGGTCAGACAGGGCATGGAGGATCAGGGAAAGGGCGGGATCTAGGTGGGGGTGGGGAAAGCACAGCCTAGCTCTTGACAGCCCCCTCATCAAGGTGTGGAGTTTCCAGTGGGGCTGCTGAATCACTGTGTTAATGGCAGGGCATCTTGGGGACATCTCATTTGATGCTGGTGCTGTCTCTGAGTGTCACAAGCAGCTGAGCATCACCCTGATGGGTGAAGGTGTCCCAGCGGGTGCTGAGCCCCACCAGCTTCCAGCACTGTCCCCTGCTCCCCTGCTGTCTCTGGGGCTGTCTCCTGTTTCATAGGGTTTGCAGGTGGTATTGGGTGAAGATGTAGTGAAATGAGATGCCAGGAAGTCTCCATGGCTCCACAGAAGTGGTGACATCTTTCCTTTGCCTACACTGTACAGTGTCTCTGGGGTCAGACCTCCCTGCTCCATGCCTTGCTAGCCCCCCGGACTATCAGCTTGGGGGTTGTCTGGCAGGTCAGACATGCTCTGGATGACGGAGATGATGGAGAACATCCTCATCCTTAGGTCACTGAGTCTGGCTGGACCTAATTTTTCATGGAGAGAGTTGAATGACCAGGTACCTGTGGGCTGGGTCCCCAGCACCAAGACCACTGACACAACTCAGTCCAGCTGCACTTGGGGTGGACTTAGGGACTCTGGGCGTGGGGTGGGGTGCTGACGGTCTCCATCCCAGCTCAGTCAACTACCTCTCCTCACTCCCTATCAATCATTCTCCCTCTTGGAGTTTAAGTGGATCCCTGAGTGAAGTATCCAAAATACCCTGTAGCTGCCGGCTCACAATGCAGCATGCTGTTCCCGCGCCAGCGGGTTGGCCGGAGGGGGGATTGGGTTTCAGCTTGTTCCGCTGGCCATCAGCCAGGCAAAGCAAAGCTCGGGGCTGCAGGGAAAGGCCACTGGGTTTGCTCAGCCTCTCAGCTCTTGCTGGCAAAAATATTATAATAAGGCTCCAGTAAAACACAGGAGGCAGAGAGGGGCCTTTCAGCTTCTGGAAGGGTAAATAGATCTGCGTCAAGGGCTCCTCGAGGCGGGGGACAGACGGGTTTCTCATTAGCTGCCCCCTTCCCTGCATGGGGATGCGGTGGCTGTGCCTGAGTCCAGGCTGGAAACACAGTTTCAGGGGTGCAGAGGAGGTTGTACCTGCACAGAGGAGGTTGTCCCAAGCTGTGGTGTCGCCGGCACAGATCCTGGTTTTGCTTCACCCAGCTGACCTCCGGTACTGAGCCTAGTCTGCAGCATCCCTCCAGCCTGGACTGATCTGATGAGGTGCATTAGGCAGGCTTCCAGGTCATGCCTGTGAGATGGTCATGAGGCACAGTGTCCCCCACAGTATCTGCCTTGGGATGACTTTGCTCCCAGCCCATCAGTCTGGGCTGGTCTTGCTCCCAGGTCTGGGCAACTTCTTGCCTTCTTTGCACATCCAGCACTGGCTGCAGCTGATGTGATCCCGGGTCAGTCGAGAAGCTCGCGTCCTGTGTTAATGATAATGTACCAGGATTAAAATTCTGGCAGGTTTCCTACCCTGAGGGAGGAACTGGCTTGAGAAGTGAGAGGGGAAGGGAAAAAGTTGTGGGTGGAAAAATGAGGGCGGAGGCTCCAGCTATCTGTGGGGCTATTTATTTGTCCAGCTGTTTCTTTATCTGGATGAGTCTGGAGCCTGTGAATGTGACAGGTTTGCCAGGACTTCTGAGAAACTCGGGGCCAGATGTTCTAAATTGGTCTAAATTGGCAAAACTCCATGGAAGTTATTTTTCCGGACACAGAGAAGTGTGTCTGCAATGTGAACAGCTCCTCTGTTAATCTGTTGCCTCTCTGGCCTCTCTGCCACTGTCCCTTGCTCCTGTCACTCTCCATCCCCAGTCCTGGCCATCACGTGCTGGTGCCAGCACCTAGCACGATCACACACACACAGCCACACACACAGATATCGTTAGCCTGATGGCATCTTAGGGTAGCTGTGAGCATCTGGAGGTGGTGGTATGCCGATGACGCATCTTTAGATGCAAAGTGCTGACCCATGGCATGCCCTCAAGCAAGCAGCAGTGCTGGCGACGGGCCCCAGAGCTGGCAGAAAGTTGCTTATTGAAAGCATCTTCAAAGTGAAAAGGACAGGCACTTACCTCCTAACTGTCCCGTGGGGAGCAGCGTGGTTTATGGTGGGAAGCAGGCCAGAGTTGCGTTTGCTGGTTTCGAGCAGCTGCAGATTTATTTATAATGCCGTGGGTAGCATGTGAATCTGCAGATAAACACACGGGAGGGAAGAACACAAACAACAATATTGAGAAAATGCTGCTCCGGAGAGAGCATTTCACTGAGCTGCAGCTATCGCCTGCCACCAGAGATGGGCCAGGGGCCAGACACCCACCTCTGCTGCTCCCACACGACTTTGCTCCATGTCATCACCATCACTGCCAGGAGCTTGCTCTGTCCTGGATGTCAGGGGCATGTTTACGTGACTGCCAAGGCACCAGCCCCTCACCTTGTTATTTGATGCTGTCAAATGGGAAGGATGGCACTGTGAAAGCACTGGCTGTGACAGCGAGTGAGGCTGCTGAGTCAGCTGGTTGAAACAGACACCTTCTCCTCCCCGAGGTGCGCTTGGGGTTGCTCATCCAGAAATTGGTCCACCTTTGTTGTTCCCAGCACAGGAGCTGGTCCTGTTCGGTGCCTGTAAGAGGTTATAAGCATGGGGCAGCCCGCAGGTAGTATCAGACCTTCTGGGTGAAGTATGGCTGGGGCAGCCCGCCACGGGGCACTGTGGGCACAGAAATTGCAAGGGGCTAGTGCACTGAGGGCGTTGCTGTGCATATAAGAGCTGCCTCTGGGGGATAGTGGATTCCCATTCTCTGGGGCTTATCACGCCTCATGTGGGGCTTGCACCTATAGCAGAACTCTGTACAACTGACATCTTGGTGCCTGGAGTCACTTATCCACTCAGAGATTTCCATCTCTCCTTGGTTAGCATACCTTGATGACCAGAAGGAACCAAGGTGACCTCCTGCCCAGTGTCTGCTCCTACAACACGTGCTTCCCCAGCTCGTGGCTCACCTGGCATGGGGGAGGATGCAACCAGTGCAAGATCTCCTCTTGGCAATTACTCTTCAGGGGCGATTACCTTTCCTTGTAAAATTGAATCTTGTTTTCCATGTGTCTTACTGGGTTCAGCTCCCAGGAAAAGCTGTAGCTGTAATTTCCCTCACGGGCTAAGGAGCTCTGTTTGCTCTTACTTTCTCCCAGTGTAGACCACAATCAATCACCTTGCACAATCCTCTATGATGAGCTTCTACAGCCCCTGCAGAAATAAAAACCCATCCTGCTGCAGGAGGAATAGACCCAGGGGGATTCTCAGCCATTCTTTTGTGTGGCTGAGGTAGGTGGTAAGGCCTTGTCTTACTTCTTAAACCTTCATGGTTTATTGGTTGCTAGTTTTGGACTCTGTGCCAACACTTTCAGGATGGGATATCAGAGCAGGGCTTGGCTACGTCTGTATTGGGCCTTCCTCCCACCGTAGTCTTCCCACCACTGCTTCTTGCTGTGGAGAATGGAGCAGGTCTGAGCCTGCGAGAGAGGTGAAGAGGAACCCCTGTGGGTGAAGGATATGTTGGTTCACTGGACACCACTCCTAGTTTTGTTTGCTGGATAAATGAATGAATTTTGTTTGGAAATAAGAAGCTGCTCAGGGATGAGACAGTGATCTTCCCTGCAGGACCATGTGGCCTCCCTGACCTCAGGTGGAGTGTGAGGGGTGCTTCTGGCCAGGTATACGGGCAAGGTAACTGTGGCAAGCCATTATATGGGTAATAAGGTGTCTTGAAGTCAGCTGTTAGTGGAGGGTGAAGCAAACTCACCACCACCACTGAAACCCATCCTGGCTTCACAGACGCTTCTGCGGTCAGAGCAGCTAACCAGGCTCATTCTGACTCAGAGGCACCAGTGATTCACAGTTTTCTGCAGTTCAGGCAACTACTGCAAAGTGCTGACATACCAACCCATCTCCGGACGGACTTTAGCCAGGGCAGTAATTTGGCAGAAAAGCTGTGCAAAAAGGGGTGCATTGGGATGTTACAGCTGTGTGCAATGGGAACCAGAGTCTTGGGGTCTGCCCTATACAAAGAAGGTTGATGAACAGGAGCCTCGAAGAAAAGAACCTGGTTTAGGGTGGGAGATGAAGGAAGCCCAGCTAATTTACTTATCTTGGAGGTGATTCATTTGCCACCCTTAAGCACCACAACAGGAAAAGGAAGTTTTGGATAGCAGTCTTTGTACAAGTAAAAGGAAACCTAATAGCTGGCAGCCCAACGGTGTAAATTCAGGCTAAAATTAATGGAAGACCTTTTTTGTGAGAAGGTAATTGACCATTGGAAAAACCTGCTTAAAACCTGCATATTTCTACTTCTGGTCTTGTGTCAAAACAAGATGTCTTTGGCCTAGCTGGGGTAGATGCACAGCTCCAAGGAGATGTGCAATTCTTCAGCTGAGATGAGTGGGCAGTGGTGAGGGCTGCGGGCAGCGTGCTCTGCAGTAATGCACCCAGCACAACATTTCCATTGCACAGAATTTTCATTAAACAAAAGGCTTTTAAAAATGCAAAATGCTTCAAGATACTATTTTTCATTTGGGGAATTATTTATACTGTTTTAGAGTACATCATCTTTTACATTATAGTCACTGCTATTAATATATTCGATATGCACCACTGTCATTGATAGTTAAGATGAAGTAACAAATTTAAGGGTTTTTTAAAGTAATGCAGCGTCTAGCTAGCACTGGTTGGAAAATGTTGTTTTCCTTTCAGATCAAAGTGCCACTGATGTTTTAATGAAAAAGCCAGTCCGTCTGATAAAATAAACACTACTGTTGAACTATATAAACAAATATTCAGTTTAAAAAGAAATTTCATAAATCTGAATGACAGCATTTCTAGACTAGCTGTTTTCCAGAACTCTTCCTAGTGGGAAAATTTGAAAAGAACTATTTTTGCTTTTCACTCTTGGAATAAAACCAAATTTTGAAACTGGAAACCTCTGGCTCTAACCAGGAATAATGAACAACCCACAGTCTGAGTAAGATTTACTGCTAGATGTAGGTGCAAGGAGCGTATCTGTGCCGAGGCACTTTTTGGCTTGCTGATGGGAAAAGAGGAGTTCATGTGCGCTGTTGGCTTGTCTCTTAAATGATAGGTCTGCTCAAGGCTGAGCTTGTCTTCCTTTGTTTTTGTTCACTGTAGTGAAAGTGGAGAGGGTGGAGATGCTTTCTGGGGATTTGTGGCAGGATGCTTGTTTTTTTTGGTGGTGAGGAGCAGCAGTAGAACACCGTTACAGCAGTAACTCTCCATCCCTGTTTTGGCATGGTAACTGGCACCATTGTTGGGTTATAGGACTGTGGCAGGAGATCTTGACTATACTGGGGTTCTTCTGGTTGAGTGCTGTCAGTGAGCTGACGCAGACTGGGTGAACATCTTGTGCATAAGATGCTTTTTCTTGAGAGCTTCAGAGCCCTAGAGCAGGACTGCTGCCCTGCCTGTCCTGCCTTAACTGAGAGGGCAGGAAAAGTGAAGCTGCAAGCTGAATTTCAGGCTTCTGTCTTGTGTGTGTGTGCGATAGATGCTTTCCAGCATCTTTGCAAGTGCAGTTGGCATCCAGAGTGCATGCGCTAAAATCAGGTGCAGAATCGAATTCTCCCTACAGAGCAGAGGGATATAATTTCTTCTGTGAGCATCACCTTGGGCTCAGCCACAGAATCACTGGCCATGGTCTGTCCCACAAACATCACACTTTTCCCAAGCCCAGCCTCGGTGTGCTGAAACTTTTAGGTGTGATTTCTAAACTGATTTCCTAAATGCTGGTATGTCGTCCTACTTTCTTAAAACATCAGCACTGGGCACAGTGCAGAAAAATCCCCATGTTGCAATGAGCGTGCGACCACAGACTTGGAGGATGGACAGTTACCCAGATTATGGAAATTACTTATGGAAGTGTCTGTCCAATGTATTTCTGATGAGGCCATCTGGCCTGTTCCTGTGCTGGATGGGGAACACCTACACATTAGCCCAGGAACCGTAAACCAAGCATCCCTTCTTGTGCCATCAGTGTACTTAGGCCAAGCTATAGGTACTTGGGATGAAAAATACTTCAGTGCTAGAACCATGAGGAGCTGTAGAAAGGACAAGGAGGCTTTGCGGCCTGCGTGGCTTAGGCAGACTTTCCCTGCTCTGTGCTGGTCGGCGGTAGCATTGCCTGACCTATTTCAGCCCAAATCGCCTGGAAAACCACCTTTAACGTTGGTTTAATTTTTTAGTACTTCTAAGTCCTAAAAGTGCTGTTATTTCCTCTGTGCTACTGCATCACCAAAATTTCTGTCTACTGTGCAAAATGCTGAGAAAAAAATATCCTGCTTTTGCAAAAGAAACTGGAAGGTGATGGCAGCAACACGGTCAGACTGGGCTCCTCGTCTACAGCAGAAGAGCTGCTCTGGGGCTGTGGTACCCTGATACTGGATTTTGGGGAGTAAAGTCCAGCTGGGCTGATGGGTGGAAGAGCACATGCATTGCAGGAGTCAAGGGGGCCTGTTAGCAATGGGCACTGGGTGAGGAAGCAAATGGGTGGAGGGACTCATGCCAGGCTCCTTCCTGACTGAGGGCTGGCTGGAGGACTTGGCGCAGGCCAGGCTTGATGGCTGCAGTCCTGGGCTGGCTCCTCTCCACCTCTTTCCCCTTGGCCAGCCTCAGGCCATTCACCAGACAGTAACTGACTCCTTGTTTCACCTTCCTCCTGCAGAGACGCTGATGGACTCCACAACGGCAACAGCAGAGCTGGGCTGGACAGTGCATCCTCCATCAGGGGTGAGTTGTCCTGTTGCTTTACAGGGGCCTGGTCTTTGGTCTCCTGCTGCATGTGAATGTGGGTGGTTTGGCTCAACAAAGTCAGCCACTGAAGCAAAGTGCCTTGGTCACATGAAAAGGTCTAGTGGGAGGAGAACAAAAGAAGATGTCAATTGAAGTTTCCAGTAGCTTTCTAGGAGGTGATACTTCCAAAAAATACCCCAGTGCTGAGGGTGTTCTCACCCTACAGTACCAGACCAGCATGCTGTTGGAGGAATCATACTCTCTGTAAACCTGGCTTGCAGCTACTTAAAAATCAGGAAGAGGGAGAAACAAAATGCCAAGGCCATCATCACTTGTCCCCAGTGTATCACTTGTTATCCCATTACCTGGTACTTGCAGAAGGAAAGGATGAGGACATTGGCCTGCGAAGTTGCACCTCACAGCAGCCATTTGATCAAGTCTTGAAATGACTGTCTGGACCCCTGGCATCTCATGGAGGGGCATTTGCTGGCTCAGCAGCGACTGTCATTCTGCCCTAGAGGTGTCAAGAGTCCCCTGATCTACATCCCAAGAACACCCAGAAAAAACTCCTTTAAAGAAAAGCTTGGACAAGGTAGTGCATCTCTGCACCCTTCCGCTCACAACGTAAAACTGGAGCGGCCCCGGCCATCCCTGTGTCCCATGGGACATTGAGATGCTTCAGAGCATCCTGCTCAGCTCTGGCTGTGGTGGCTGGCAGCAGGTTGGAGCCCCAGTGCCTGACACCCCTGTCCTGTTCCCTTGGGCTTGGGTGGCCCAATGCAGCCCAGATAAAACCCGAGGTGCTTCCCATCCCTGTGCATGGACGTGGTGGCTCAGGCTCCAAACTGCCCTCCATCCACCCTCCACAGGAGCTGGATGAAGATGTTTCTGTGGACCTCACCCTGAGGCTGACAGCAAGCCCCCTCCCCAAGCTGACTTGGCAGAAGAAAAGAAATGGCCAAGAAAGCCTCTGTTGGGGAGATTAAACCCAGCTCCTGAGCAGCCCGGCTGCCCTGCCGCGCTGGGGCGTGGGCACTGTCGGCACTGGTCTCCCATCACCATGATAAAGCCCCACGCCCGCCCTCAAGCCCGGCCTCCTCGCCAGTGCTGGCCCGGCTGCCGAAGAGGGATGACGGGTGCACAATAGGCGAGAGCAGAGGTCAAGTCTTTTTCTCTCCTTACCCAGCCTTTCTTGTTTGCGATGTTTCCATATGTAAAGCACGCCTTGCTCTCGGCTCCCCAGCCCTGCGGTAATGAGGCCTGGGCCTGCTGGAAGCCGTCTCCCTGTATTATTGTGCTGCCTTCTTCTTTTGAGCTCCCGGCATGTTAATTAGAGAGCGAGGAGAAAGGGAGAGGCTTCTAATTAAGCATCAAGGAAGCGCAGGGGCTGGTGCACAGGGGTGGCTTTCTCTCCCGGCTGAGAAAAGGGAGCTTGGGAGTCCCCCGCTTGCTGTTGCAGGGGTGTGGGAGGATCCTGGGGGTACTGAGCTTGGCCCCTCGGGTGCCCCCCCATCCCCCCTCCCTGACAGGTGGGAGATGCCCATCTGGAAAGTCCAGCGCAGCCCTGGCATTGCTGGTGGGATTGCATCCAGTCCCCACCTCTGGGTAGGTCCCTGGGGAGGGGGACATGGTTCATGTTGTGCCCTTCACTCTGCACGTTATGGGTGCGAGTGCTGCGGTGTCTTCATGGTTCATCCCAGTGCAGCCTCCTGCCCGCTGGCAGGGCAAGGCAGGACATCCTGCCCATGGGTGACTGTCAAAGTTGGGTGCAGCCAACATCACCTGCAAGATAAAAGCTACTGGGTTCTCCACAAATTTATTGCCTCTCTGGTGATTATTAGAGATCTAAAAGCCCAAAGAGTTGCTTTTTCCCTGGCTGTGGAGGCCCTGTGCTGCTCATAGGTGGCCCCATGCCCTGCCTCCACTGTCAGCTGTTCATCCCCAAGCTGTAGAGACTCTCCTTCCACCATGTGCTGCTCCTGCATGGCCAGGGCTGACCTTTTCAGGCTCATGTCCTGAGCCCTCCCTGGGGGCTCTGCAGGTCTGGATGGGGACAGGGCAGTACTGGGCATCTCTGGGTCTTGGTGGCTGACACAGTTTTGGAGTGGGTGTCAGGAGTGGTCTGGGCAAGGGAGAGCCATGTCAGAGGCAGGGCAGAGGAAGAAATTGCTTCCTTGTACCTTGTCCTTAAATCCTTCACTATCCTCCCAACTGGTGGCCTAAAAACCAGGGAGATCCTGCAATTTTTCCATTACCACACCAAATTTATTTCTGGAAAATAAAGCAAATGCTCCCCCTGCATTTTGCAAGGATGCTCTCCACCTCCCCCAGCAATGGCAGCAGATTTGCAGCCACTGCGAATCAGAAGGGGTTGGAGCTGTTTGGGGATCTTCCCTGACAGCCGTCTGTTGGGCTGTTAGCCTTGATGTGTGAGGAGCAATCTGTCTCCCATCCTGTTAGCCTCCCTCTGCAGTCCTGGATGCCCTTGTGAGGCCATTTGCAGGCCGAGGGGCTGGGGGTGCTCTGCTCCTGCAGGGTTTTCTCTGCAGACCTCGGTCCTGGCACTGGTGCTGGATCTGGGCTGTGCTGCTGCCCTGCCCTGGGTGTTGTGATTCTGCATCCAGGGCAGGTTTGTTCTTAGGGTTTCACCTCCATGGGAAACAAAGCTTGACTTCCACTTGAGCAGGTTTATGAACAAGTTAATGAGAAGCTGTTACAGTTGGCTTGGACTGTGCCATGCGCTAGCTGGACCCTGGTTCCTACTGCCAGCATCATGAGTGTGCTGTGAGTGGGTAGGGGACAGCTTGAGGAGATGCTTTGCCCTCCAGAAAGGTCTGGGCTGGAGGAGATGCTCTGGTGAGCCAAGTGAAAGGTTCTCCTCCCACAAAGACCATTCTCTGTGTTTGCACACCACAGAGGAGTGGTGGCCGGTTACAGACTCCGGCTCTGCCCTTACCTGGTGCATCACTGGCCTACAAAGGATGGAGACAACAGCAGGCACAGAAGGATTTGGAAAAAAACAGCCTGGGGAAAGGTCAGAGAGCAGGATGGGGCCAGAAGGTGTTGCAGCAGCCCTGGGCTCTTTGGACACTCCTCCAGAGTCAGCTGTTAGTCAAATGGGGGCATATAGGAAATGCCATAGATCCAGTTTAGTACAGCTGGGGCTAGGACCTGTGCATACCTGCAGGAGGAACCCCAAAGCATATTGGCCCTTGAAGGAGCAAGCATGAGGGCTACCAGCAGGATCTATCCCAGCATCTCCTAGGTACACAGCGGGGTCAGCCAGGATCCCATAAACCTTGCCTTCTGCCTCTGGAGAGAGGCCACTGGCTACCGGCCCAGCCACACTGGTGCTCGGGCTGCAGCCATCGTGAAGGTTTTACAGCTGTGTTACGTGCTACTGAGAAAGTGGGTCCTGTCTGCCACGTCTGTAACCGTAGCAGCACCCATGGGAATACATCTGCTAAAGGCATTGTTACTTTGCTGAGAGGCTCTGCTGTACAGTGCAGCCCACGGGCAGGAGCCCCTGCTAAAGACATTACTGCCTGCAGAGGAGGGGCATGGCTGTGCAATGCCCTGCTACCTGCCAGAGATGCTCCACCATAAATGTGGGCATGGAGCATGGTGCTGCTGGCAGCGAGATAGTCCCGAGCTCTGCTGAGGGCTTGCCCACCTTCCCCCAACGGCGTGGAGCCTGCCTGGTGTGCAGTGCGGGTCAAACCCTGCCAGAGCAGGGTGGAGGCACGTAGGTACAGGGTGCTTGCAGGGTGGTGCTGGAGCTGTGCTGGGGTGAGGTGCTGGACACCGATGGGGTGGGCATGGTGTGGGGCAGCTGGTACTGACAGAGCTTGCCTGCTTGGCCTGCAGTAGGACTAGGAAGAGGTGAGGTGGGCAGGGAACATCAGTTTGGTGCAGCCCCTTGACTTTCTGTGTCCTGTCCACAGTGGGAAGAGGTGAGTGGGTACGACGAGAACATGAACACGATTCGCACCTACCAGGTGTGCAACGTGTTTGAATCCAGCCAAAACAACTGGCTCCGGACCAAGTACATCCGGAGGCGAGGAGCACACCGCATCCATGTGGAGATGAAATTTTCTGTTCGGGACTGCAGCAGCATCCCTAATGTCCCAGGATCCTGCAAGGAGACTTTTAACCTCTACTATTTTGAGTCAGACTTTGACTCGGCCACCAAGACTTTCCCTAACTGGATGGAGAATCCTTGGATGAAGGTGGATACTATTGCTGCTGATGAGAGCTTCTCGCAGGTGGACCTAGGTGGACGGGTGATGAAGATTAACACAGAGGTGCGCAGTTTTGGGCCTGTCTCCAAGAATGGTTTCTACTTGGCCTTCCAGGACTACGGAGGATGCATGTCCTTGATTGCTGTCCGCGTCTTCTACCGAAAATGTCCCCGCGTGATCCAGAACGGGGCTGTCTTCCAAGAAACCCTCTCGGGAGCAGAGAGCACCTCACTGGTGGCAGCCCGAGGGACGTGCATCACCAATGCAGAGGAGGTGGACGTGCCGATCAAGCTGTACTGCAACGGGGATGGCGAGTGGCTGGTGCCCATTGGCCGCTGCATGTGCAGGGCGGGCTATGAGTCCGTGGAAAATGGGACCATCTGCAGAGGTAACTGCTCACCTTCGGTCTTGCCCCCTGTGCTCTCTTCACTGCTCATGGGCTGTACCTGTGGTGTTTGTCAGGATTTGCCGCAAGGCTCTGCAGGAGCTGCCTGGGAGTGACATCCTTGGGCAGGGGTGGGAGAGGAGAATGTGGGCATGTGGGAGAGGAGCACCTGTGTGGATGCTGGATTCTTTCCCAGTTCCTCAGTTCCTTCTTCAAGCTCATCCATCCATTTAAGAGGCTCTGCTTTACCTCTGGGTCCTCAGAGCCACCAGGTCCAGGGGTGCTGGCCTGTTATTGGTGCCCTCCATGCTCTGCAGGTCTTGGAGGGACACGTGTAGCTGTGGTACATGCCACTAATCTGCAGTCACCTCCCAAAATACCGGCACAGTTTCACTTTGGTTTGTGCCCTGTGCCATGGTGTGGGATGAAATGCTTCTGGGGTGACGGGAGCAGGAGTGCAGGCACCCAAAGGTGGTGTGTTGGAAGGGAGAAAATCGTTTGCAGCATTTTCCTGATAAGGTGCAAATGGCTGCTGAGGTGAGACATGGTCACAGGCTGTTCAGGGCCAGGCTCACCTCTCCAGCCTGGGTACCTCTGAGCCTGACCCCTGAGCTCCCTCAGCAGCCAGAGGTCTTCTGTGCTGTAGATGTTCAAAGCAGACTCCAGGAGTGCCTGCTCAGATGAGCTGAGCACTGTGGAGCCAGCACAGCGTGACCTGGGCAAGTGAGAGGGTCTGCACCACCCTCCCTGAAAGCATCGTGCCCAAAACCATCCCTGTGCTCCTCCTCAATTGTGCAGATGGCACAGGGGAAGGAAAGTCTACATAGGCTTGGGGAGTGAGAGGAGGGAGCTGCTGGGGTTATCGGGAGAGATGGGAACCCAAGAGCTGCCCGCTTAATGGGCACCTACAGCTGTACCATGCACAGCACAAACCATGGTGTTTGGCATACGGACTCTTCTCTCCTCCCTCTGTCCTGGCCAAATATCAAAACCCTATTACAGTTTTGATAGCACCGGCACACTCTGAGAAGAGCTGCGGTTTCTCTGAGATCAGTTATAGAAGCGTCAGTGAGCGTTGCGGAGTGCAAGGAAAGAGCTGCATCGCCTCTCTTCTTGCTGTGGGAAGGGGTGGCTGGCTAGCACCAAGCAAGCATGGGGAGGGTGCTGGTATTGGAGGAGTGGACACACCGGAGAGTGGGACAGACGGTCTTTGTCCATGCTCGGTTGGGATTGCAGGTTGGACAGTCCCCTTGGGTGGAGAGGGCACTGTGTCTTCTGGTAGCTGGGCTGCTCACACATCAAAGCAACCTGATGTGCTGGTGGTGTTAATATCCATGCTTTGAGCTACTCCTCACTGACCCACTGAATGCCGCTTCCCACTTGGGGTGATCAAGTGTCCTTCAGCTGTAGCAGGTACAGTGCTGGGGACAGAGACAGCAAGGAAGTACTGTTGCAATGTAGTATGGAAAGGGAACCTGGCTAATCCCAGCCTCGAAGGGAAGACGGGTGTTTTATGACACCCAAATGAAGCATTCATAGCAACACCAGAAAGCCAAAATGATTCATGTCAGCTTTTCCATCTCAGCCTTTTTGCCCCGTTCAGACACAGCATTGCCCAGTGCTTTGTTCTGATGCAGCTGCAGTTTTGTGGGGCTCCCTGGATCCTCTGCCAACCCAGCCAATGGACAGTCCCTCCAGCCAGGACCTCCTATGCAGAGCCTAGGTCCCTGCAGCCTGGCCCGGCAGGGCTGGGAGGGGAGGCAGAGCAGGCAGGAGCAGAGGGCCAAGGTGGAGGGACTGAGCAGGAGAGAGAGGCTGTCTCCTCTTTGTCTGTGCAGCAGCAGGATTTTGGGAGGTCCGGTACCTTGGCAGCTGTTTCTCCAGCTGGTGCTGGCATGCACCCAGCCCCGTGTCTGTGGGGCAGCTGGCTCTGGGGCTGCCTTCCCTTTCCCTTTCCCTTTCCCTTTCCCTTTCCCTTTCCCTTTCCCTTTCCCTTTCCCTTTCCCTTTCCCTTTCCCTTTCCCTTTCCCTTTCCCTTTCCCTTTCCCTTTCCCTCCCCCTCTCCCTCTTCCTTTCCCTCTCCCTTTCCCTTTCCCTTTCCCTCTCCTTTTCCGTCTCCCTTTCACTTTCCCTCTTGGGCATGCATGATCGAGGTTGGATGGGACCCCAGGGCTGTGCCAGGCTGGGACACACCCTCTTTTTTCCCCCAGCAGCCCTCAGAAGAGTGAGGACTGGGAGGAGATCCAGCCACAGAGCTGGCAGGATAGCCAGAACATCCCCATCCTCTTCCAGCCCCCCCCAGAAGCCCCACAGAAGACTGCGGAAGGGGCAGAGAAAGGGCTCTCCTCCCCAGCTCAACTCAGGAAGGACCTGTTGGATGCAGTTGTGCATCCCTGCCTGCCTCCTGTTCTGTCCTTGCCGCTGGTCCCCATAGAGGCAGTGTATGAGCAGCCTGGTTTGGGGCACTTGCTCGTACATGTGGCCAGCAGGTTTTCTTCTCTTCCGAGGGGTGGGAGGGAATCTGGGCCCTTTTCCAGAAGCAAAGCAAAAGCAAACCTGAGCTGGCTTTCGTGGCAAAGTGTACTCACATAGCTCAGTCACCCAGATGGGATGTGATGGGGGAACATGGGGGACGACTCACTGGTCCTGCCTCGCCAAGGGCTCCTGGTGGAAAAGGGCTTCCCAAGCAACGGACAGCCACTCGATGCAGCTGCAAGGCGCTGGAAGGAGTTGCTCATTTTTTCCCCTGGGCTTTTCATCTGGTTAATACAGTGCAAGCCTGCTCATGGCAGTGTACACAAGAGATATTTATGGAGGAAGTTCATGCATCAAACAGCTTAAGCTCTTCTAAGCTTGCAGCCCTAGCACAAAAGGATTTGGGGGCAGTTAACAATTCTGTGTGGTTAAGAGATTTTCATTTTGCCGGGCCTTGCTCGCCAGTCCCACAGGGTCCTGTGAGGAGCTGGCTGCCCGCTTCTCTTTGCTCCACTTCTCCACTTGGTTCCCAGCTCCTTCTGCTGCGCTGGTGAGGGGCTCTGTTCATGCACCTCCCTACACTGCCTCCCCCCAGCCTGATAGACCCAGCCCCATCCTCCTCACTTCTGCACTTCACCTTCTCCTGCTCCCTGCCTGCGTCTTTTTTCTCCGTCTCCCTGTTCTTTGTCTGCTGCCTCCCCCTTTCTCCCCCCACCGGTCCCTCCCATGCAGCATGTTAAGCACATTTCTCTCTCTGCCTCCCTTATTCATTGGCTCCCCTCTGCAACGGCAGAGCTATTGTGCTGTGTGCTTGCTCTCTCTGTTTGGACTGGATGGTAGACTAACACTACCTGCAAGGGTCTCTGCCTGCTCAGGGATGGCAGTCCATTCCTAGCTACTGAACCCTGCATCCACCTCCAGCTCCTCTTCATCTTTGGAGGACGTCTGCCCATGTGCCTGATCACTGCATTCACAGTGGCAGCCTCTACTTTGCTGGACTCATACAGCACCGAGCATGAGGAATCCTGCTTTTGCTGTGGTAACAAGGGATGGTTTTGTCCCACCGAAGCTGGTGGTGCCACTCTCTTGCTATCAGAGACACGTGGCAACATCTCTTGGGGTCACAGGCATTTCTGAAAAGGAGAGGAGCTGGTGATGTGCTTGGAAAAGGAGAAACCTGGTCACCTAGGTGGTCTGTAGAAGATCCAGGCTCTCTTCTCCAGCTCAAGGTGGAGCCGGGCCACCCCTGTGGGAAGCCTGAGGGCTCAACATTGTGTCCCCTTTGGCGCATGCCCTGCCTTCCTCCTGCTCCTTCCTTGCAGGGCAGAGCCAGAAGGGAGGATGTGGGCGTCCTGTCCAGCCCCATCAACATCACAGCCTGATTCCCCCGCCACTCCAGCTGGATACTTACAGGACAGCTCCAGCAATGACTCAGCCCAAGCCCAGTTCTGGACGGAGAAATGTGACCCCCTGGGTTATTGCCATAGAGGGCTGGTACAGGGGGTAACCCAGACTGGGGCTGCATAGGGCTGACTGGTAGGTTTTGGTAGGGGTGTACCCTTGCAGATGTGTGTCCTACACGCAGTCTCCATGACAGGCTTCCCTGCCTATGAATCACAGAATCAGAGAATCACTGATGTTGGAAAAGCCCTGTAAGATCATTCAGTCCAACCATCAACCCAACACTCCCCTACCCACTAGACCATGTCCTCAAGCACCATGTCTACATGTGCCTTGAACACCTCCAGGGATGGTGACTCCACCACTCCCCTGGGCAGCCTGTTCCAATGCCTGACCACTCTTTCAGTGAAGGAGGTTTTTGGAATATCTAATCTAAAGCTTCCCTGACGCAACGTGAGGCCGTTTCCTCTTGTCCTATCACCAGTTACCCGGGAGAACAGACCAGCACCCACCTCCCTACACCCTCCTTTCAGGGAGCTGTAGAGAGCGATCAGGTCTCCCCTCAGCCACCTCTTCTTCAGCCTGAACCCCCCCTGCACCCTCAGCCGCTCCTCATCAGACTTGTTCTCCAGACCCTTCCCCAGTTTTGTTACCCTTCTCTGGACACGCTCCAGCATCTCTATGTCCTTCTGGGAGTGAGGGGCCCAAAACGGAACACAGACCTTGAGGTATGGCCTCACCAGGCCTCACCTCACTGCCCTGCTCCTGCTGGCCACACTGTTCCTGATACAGGCCAGGATGCCGTTGGCCTTCTTGGCCACCTGGGCACACGCTGGCTCAGATTCAGCCACCGTCAACCAACACCCCCAGGTCCTTCTCTGCCTGACAGCTTTCCAGCCACTCATCCCCAAGCCTGTATGCTTGCATGTTATGTTAAGGTCCAGTGCAGCAGATCTGTCACCGCCCCACCGTGTGCTGGAACAGCATGTGCGGAGGCAGTGATGTGCATGTACACGTGTGTTGAGGCCTCAGGGCTATTCCTCCATTGCAGAGGTGTGGGAAGCAGAGGGAGTCTGTCCCAGCTGGGCTGTGCTTGGGTTTCAGAGCAGGGCGAGCATGTGGTAAGG